TAAAAGCATTTTAACTGACTTCATCTTAAAGTTTTGATATGATAACATCGAAGAGTTGTTTTTCCGAGCGTGGAAGAATTTGTCTATGGAGGAGACAGAGTTGTTTGTCACGGTGGTTTAAGATGCTAAAGAATCGAAACAGTTGGATTTTGAAGGAATAAGCATAAAATGTGATGCATCATATCTTAGAATACCAAATAGATAGGCAAACGGTGGAGGGAAGATGAGGCAACCATGATGTAGTGGCCACCAATGGAGGACTTTGACATGGATCTTATATTAGATATTGTTCAAATTATCAATGAGGAGTGATTTTGAAAGTGATAAAAATGGTTAACTATGATAAAAACAAGCAAAAATAAATCGAGAATAAAAAACAGTGATGGCCGAAAATGGCATTGGCGGCCGTCCGACCTTGTGTTGCAATTACAATGTCAATTTTGTTGAATTGAACGGGTGCCCGATTTTTGTACTGAGCGGCTTCCCAATACAAAAAATTTGCCCTGCTAGATTTTCAAATTTTGGAGTTTTTCAAATTTTGGAGTCATTTTGAAGGGCTTACACCCTTCCGACTTGGTTTTTGCACATTTTTCATGCATGGTGATTATAATTCTATATATATGAGTGATTTTCATGATTAAAATCATATAAAAAACATCAAATTCATTCATCAACATCCAAAATCAAAGATCAAACCTAGTTTTTTATATTGTTCTTCAAAGTTCCATTTTCCATGTTTTGTTTGCTTGATTCAAACTTGGATTAAATTTTGTTTACTCCTAAAAGCCATTTGCCATAAAAACCTTTAAGCACTTACCCCGGTGTCACAAATATCGTTTGAAGACAGCGATTCATAATCTTCTTCAAATCTTCCATTTTGGCAATTTCTTGTTTTTGGCTTTATTTTCTTGTTCTCCATCAACTTTTCTCAATAATCTCAAACGTATTCAACACGGAGAACGAAACAACCATGGCTACGATAAAAATGATGAATCAAGACCTTGTGAGGCTTAACAGATTCGACGGGTCGAACTTTGCAAGATGGAAGGACAAGTTGAAGTTTCTTCACAACCTTGAAAATCTTCTACATTTTGGATCTGGACTTTGCACCATTGTCAGAACCAACCTCAAATGATACCAACGAAACAAGGGCAGAAAGGAAGAAGAGAGAAGAAAATGAATTAACATGTAGATGACACATTCTGAACACTCTCTTCGACCGTCTCTATGATCTCTATGCAAATAACTCCTCAGCAAAGGAGATATGCGAAGTGCTGGAAACCAAATACAAAGACGAGAAGGAAGGTACCGAAAAATTTCTTATTTCTAAGTATTTTGATTTCAAATTTTTGGATAACTTCCCATTGTTAGGATAAGTACATGAGTTGCAAGTTATTATCAATAAAATGAATGTTGTGAAGATAGATCTTCCCGAAACTCTCCAAGTTGGTGCAATCATTGCGAAATTGTCATTTTCATGGAATTATTAAAGGAAGAAAATCATTTACAATTCCCAAGATTATTTTTTGGAAAAAATTCACAAATATCTTCGAATTGGGAAAGAGTCCAGGATATGAGATGGGAATGAACATTCTCATGAAGGCACTTCCAAAGCCCATGTCGTGGATCAACCAAACAAATATGACAAGGATTTCAAGAAAATGAAATCCACAAATCCCAACAAAGATAACAAGAACAAGAATAAATTCAAAGTTTCTTGTTAAATATGTGGGAAACTCGAACATTATGCTGGTTAAAAAAGAAAGAAATTTTTTTGAATTTACGTGTAATATTATTTTATTGGAGAATGTGTGGTTGTTAAGAAGAGACGTGAAAGTGAATTACAATTTAATTATGAATAATGGAAGCCAAACAGGGGTTTAGTTTTATCGGCCGTCATAACTGAAAAGTGAGATAAAAAAAACTCTATCACTTTAAACGCTCTATGCCCGAAAGACTCCCTTTTCAAAGTCACCACCCTTTTCGATCTACTCCAAGTTGATCTCACCATCCTCGACTGCCTCTCCTTACCTACCTCCTCATCTCGACTGCCTCTTACCCACCAATATCATCATTCACTGGCCTATCTCAGTCACATTCAGCAACCTCATGCATAGACGACAAATCCAGATTTCGTCCCTTACCCTAGAAATCGAAGACATCGCCTTTAAATTAGGATTTCCCATCAATAGAACAACGAAGTAATATTTATCTACAGCTTCATAGCTTTTTTTATTCTTATTATTAAAATTGGCATTTTCAATTTGAAAACATGGATCATCGGAGCAAAGGGTAATTCAGAACGAAGTGGGGAGTGGAATGAGTATACTTGAGTCATTGTTTACTCAATGTCAAATATTAATATGTTGGTTATTGCTACATTTTCTTCTCATAATTTTCTTGTTATGATTACGGGGTATGTGTTTCCATTTCTGCCCTCGTTTGGCTCCCATTAATTTATAATATATTTTTCTTTCTCTTCTTTTTAATCACATATTTTTCAATAAAATAATATTTTACATAAACCAAAAACTTTTCATTCTTTTTCAACTACATATTCTTAAAAAAAAAAAAAAATTCCAAAAATTATACCATCAAATAATGGAGAACCAAACTGGGGCTCTATGAATTATTGCTATATTCTTCGAAATTGGAGAAGATTTGAATTGGAAAGTAGGATGTGATGAGGAGGAGGTGGAGGAGGAGGAGAATTAAAGAGAAGGATCATATAGATTTTTCGAGAAGTAGTTCTTTATGGAGTGGTGGTTGAAGAGTGAGAGAATTCATGAATTATTCCATAATCCAAATCCAAATTCCCAAATCTCTTCCATATAAAGCGTGTGGTTGGGGGTGGGATTGGATAGCAAGAGATTTTTTTAATTATTATTTTTAATTTTTTAATTGGGACTTATTTGTACCTTTTAAAAAATGACTAAAGTTGTAATTAAATCTTTATTTTTTTATTTATTAATTTAAAGAGAGAGACAAATTCATCATTTTACAAAATTTTATGAAGAAAAATGCTGAAAATATTGTATTTTGTAAAGTTTGATTAATTTGGCAAAATTTTACATTTTGAACATTTCACAAAATAAGTAAAGCTCTGTTTGGTACACATTATTTTTTCATTCTCATTCTTCTACTCATTTTCAATCACACATTTTTCAATAAAATAATATTTTCTATCACATCAATAACCTTTCCTTCATTTTTAACCACACATTCTCTATCAATCTACTATTCAATAATATATTCTTTCAAAAGAATGTGTCCCAAACACACTTTAAACGTCAGAAAAATATTGCTCCAATTATCCATTTGGAAATTATTCAACCAACCTCGTTTTTCGTTCAAAAAATAATTTGAAGTTAAACGGGCACTTGAGAGAAATCCGTCAAAAGGAGCCTGCGAGTTTTTTATTCTCCCTTTCTCTCATTTTGTCGACCCTCTCCACTTTCCAAATCTCAGCGCCGTAGAGAACGTTCAAAACGCCAGTCCCAGATCTCAATTCTCCCATTTACAATCACACTACAAATATAAACCCAGATTTTTTGTCTACTCAAATATGGG